TGAAAACCATACCAGATGTTAGTCTATTTCTTTTTTTATCATGTATATATGAGAATGCAGACCAATTTCTTTCAGGTACTGCTGAAGATGTAGGATTGAAAGAGTTTGTACAGCAATATTAGTCAGTTCAGGGGCAACTAATGAAAAATTCCCTTTCCACCATGTTGCCAAATCTGCTTCACCTATAGTTGACCATGCTAAAGAATTGTCAAACAAGCTAGTATGTTGTTTATAATGTAGTAATTGTGACCAAAATTTTCTTGTTACATTTATTACATGTACAAAAAAAATTACATGCGCATTGGAACATCTCTAGTTACAACATAGACTCTACCCGAGTTCAGCCAAACAGTACTTCGTCGATTTCAATTGGCACTTGCTATCCTAACCCTCACTTAAGATAAACAAGAAATCTTTGTTATAAATAGTTGATCATTCGAATGTGGGATTTTTTAAAAAATTTCACTATATAATTACAAAGTATATATCATTTATCTATCGCATGAAAATGTCGAGCTTCTGTTTATTTTCGCATTTCATTTTCGCTTAGTTCAGCCACTTTCCTTTTTTATATCGAATATCACAATTATAATTTAATTATAACTAAACAATGAATGTGATTTTTTCAATTCTTCTCTGCAATGAGTTCTTATAGTAAAGATTTATAACTATATAAGATATCCCCCCCCAGAGTGTAGTCATTCGTTTATAGTTTGTTTAACTTGTTTCCTTTGTTTAGGTGATTCTGAATAAATAATGCCGCGTTGTTCAAGTCGGGTGATAGGTCATCCTTTTTTAAAACACTAACTCTGCTTTTATCTATTATTATGTATGATATTACCTTAATGTTTTATGTTTTTTTGACGCGAGTGATCCTTTTCGAAAAAATTTTTTTTGATCAGATCAGCATAACGGAATTTCTTTAATAATGATCGGCAAATTTAATAGAGTTTATTGTCCAGATTTTATTGGACAAAATAAAATTTTGATTTTTATCAATCGCGTATAATAACTGTATAATTAAAAAATTCAATATTAATACATACAAGAGAGAATAATTTTTATTATTCTCATTACTATTTCGTTCTTATCATCATGCTATTGTTTTAATGTGCCACTTACATTTGAGGCAATTAATTATGTTTAAAATTAAATCTTTAAAGAAATCTTCTATTTTGATGAATTGATAGTAATAAATATTTAGCAATATGTCCACCTACATATTATGTTATATATATTATATAAGTAAACAATACATGGTGTCTAAATATTTAAATTAATTACATATCTAACAAACATTATTAATAAGTAAATATTTAAAATGATAAAAATGACATGTTTGCATCTACCTCTAGATAGTTTCATATTATTATTTGCAAATTCAATTTTTATGAAAAAATTTAAGAATTGAACTTAAAAGTTAACTTTTTTTTTGGTATAATTCAACTTATCTGTAATATTATCAGGTTCCTTGTTCCTTTTATATATTGTTAAGTTTGCTGATTCTTTTTTCCATGTTTAAATTCCATACATGTTATTAAAATATATACATACATTATTATATATATATATATTCTAAACCTCTTTATTATAAAATTCATTCATAATACTGTTATTGGAAAACGTTTGATCAGGTTTGATCAGGACATGGAGTATGATAAAGAAGCTTGAAATTTACGCGTCTATAAAAAAAAAAATTTTTTTTGGTACAAATCTGTAACCTAATCATATGAAGAATTTATTTTTAATAGGACGATTATTGTAAAATCATATAAACAATCGTGTAACAATTTTTGGAAAATGATAATTTAAAGAGTCCCGTACACTTTACCGACAAACAATTTGCCAAGGATTGTGTGAAGATCTGGATGACTCTATGTAGAAGCTAAAAGGTTGGTTTTTTACAGACAAGTTAAATCAACTGTTGACCGAGTACTGACCTTGCCCTACAAATCATTAACTAATAACACAACTTATTATCCTTACTTTGCATCAAAAACTGGTTCATATAGACACATGTGTAACAATTTTTTTTGTCTGACAAATTGATGAAAATTGCATATTCGGATTTTAATCGTTTTTATTTTATTTTTAAATAAATAAAACAATTAAACCTTTTCTCTCGTATTTGAATAATTTCTTGAATTTTTATGAAAAAAAAAAGAGGAATGTTAAACTCTTATTATACAAAAAACACTGAAAAGCCCAAATTGCCAAAATAGTTCGAGCTTTGATGAACAATTTGGGCTAGAAACCTTACTTGATTGTTGGTAAAGTGTCCTGTCGGTAAAGTGACCAGACCCAATTTAAACAATTACGAGCTAAGAAAAATACATTTTATTATGGTAAAATGAATAAAAAAAATTATGTAGCACTTTGAGTGAGTTGCTTTATAATTTACATTTTAAGAAAAGCATTATTCTATCACTAGCATTTAATTAATCAACAATTGAATTGTTTTTTGTTATATACCAACACTAAAATGCTGTATTAAATATTTAATCTGCTACTAATAAAACATTTTATTTGTCCTGTTTTTTTGTGACAGCAAAGAGTCTTTGAGTTTTTTTCGTCAAAAAGCAACAAGAAAATTATTCTGTTCCTTTTTAGTGATAGTCTAAAAAAAAGTCTTGGTCGATTTTCTAACAATGTCCAATTCTTTCAATTGATGGTGACAGTGCATTTTTGCATTTTTTCAAAAGGCTTAGTTGGTTTCTTGTCAATGATAAGGAAATTAATCGCGAATTATCCTGTTCCTTTTACACTTTCAAAAAATCTTGATCAGCTTTTTTAACAATGACCAATTCCCGTTTTTATTATTCACATAACAACTCTTTAATCATTAAATAAACAAATAAATATTGGCTAATTTTGATACATATATATATAAGTGATCGAGTCGTGTGATTTCATAATATTGTGACATCAAAGAATACTAGATGTTGGAATAAACTAAAGTAGTCGGCTTTAAACAACTAATAGTCGACTATGAATACTAATATTGATACTATGTTAATATTATTATTGTCGGTCCAATTATGATTTTTGCGTTTTATCATTCAAAATGGGAAATTTCTATGCGGAAGAGTATTAACACCATCAATATGATGATGACGACAATGATGGTGTTGTTGTTGTTGTTGATAATTTTACATGTGAACTAATAAACACTTCCGATACAAGGTCCAATAGTTCATTGGCTTCAAGTTCCAATGATTTAAGCGTCGGTTCCAGAAGACCTTTGAAAAAACAAATCATAACACATGGTTTTGTGTGGAAGCGTTTTGAAAAAGTGAAAGATTCAAATGGAAATGAATTCGTAATTTGCAAATTAAAAAAAAATATATAGTTGACTAATTAGTCGTCAACTAAAATAATCAACTAAATAATCGACTAAAATAATCGACTAATAATAGTCGACTAAGGATTTTTTTGGATGATTCCAACCTCTAAAGAATATCATTGTTATATGAATAATAATGGCATGATCTCATGGTTTGAATGTGATCACATAGCGTACTCATTCGTAAACTCGAAATATCTCTACAAAAAAAATATGAGGATGGCTGTCCTATTTATATGTTTCGAATTTAATAAAATAGACTATTGTCTTGACCCAAGTGATGCGATTTTTTTAATATCAATGTAAAATTTTTATCTCGAATAGCACAACATGCATGATTGTTTAATACATAAAAAAGCTATTTATTTATTAATGACAATTCTTGAAATTATCTAAGACCAGTTCCTATGACCGCTCAGCGGGTTCGAACCGAACCATGACTGAGGGCTGCTATTGTGGGAATTAACACCACTTACATTTACCATCTGGAACTGGTTACAAATTTATTTTTAGAAATGAGAGAGTGGCAGAAGAACAAATTCCATAAAAAAAAAGTCAGTTATGGTGAAGAGTACTAGAAAAAAGAAAGATTGTTGATTGGGAATCATATGAGAGAAACACGAAGGAGTGAAATTTTTTGTGAATGTAATAACAAGTTTAAAATACTAAGTGATAAATGAGCTGGGCGCTGTAGATCATATATAAATTTTATATTTTTACAATTGAAACATATATTTAGAGAATTTTAAATCTAGTTTAATTCATTCAATCCTTCACCATTATTTTTTTTTAGTCTTTTGTATTCCTCTATAGCATCTTTTGAATATTTAACTTGAGAAAAATCAAATTTTAAGATTCGAAGTTTATCTAAAGAATTTACCCTACTCAGAGCAACATATACTTGTCCTTCTGCAAATATGTTTACTATTGAACCTGCTATCAGATGGTTATAGTTTGCATCTTCATCATGTATATCTGTTGGAAATGAATCATTTGGAACAACCAAATCCATATGGCTTTGGAACCTCATTAGGTAAAGTGCTTCTATATGTATGAGATGACACATTTATTGACTGTTGTGCTAAAGGTAGTTGAAGTGGTATAGAATCATCTGGAAAAAGATGTGTAATATCGGTTGCATATTTTTTAATAAGTTTGTTGTTTTGTTTAAGCCAATTCAAGACAAGAATTAAAATTTCATGAAATCACATTGGTGGTTCATTGGCATTCAGAAAAGCTCCAATTGTTCCAGAATATAATTCTAAAGCACAATAATTATATGTAATATTGATTTGTCCTTCAGGTGAACATAATTTATATAATGATTAGATCCAGTTGAGCAACCCAATGAGCAATTCATATGTACAGGTGAAAGGTATTTATGATGTAACATGGGAACATTTTGAATCTCAGGAGAAATAGATACTAGAATTGAAGGATATCTTCTATTTTCTCATTTTTACATCCATTACAAACAGCAACTTGTTTTATGTTTCTATTGTTTTCTTTTACAAATGGATTGATATTAGGAAATATTAATGTTAAATTATATGTTTCATTTTCATCATGGGGCATCTATTTAGTAATTTGATTTCATCATTATGATTGAACAGTGAGCACAAGGAATATTTGGATATTCAAATAAGATATTGTTTTCAAATTCGTGCAAGAGATGGTGTATATCAAGTGATAGAGACCACAGCAAATTAAGATTTGGATTCATAGGAAAAGAATGGGCTATATCTAATTGAGTATTAATTAAATCTAGGATTATTTGGTAAATTTTGATTTATTTCATTTTGATGAATATAGGATTGAAAAATATTGATATCATCTTGAGTGTTTTCTGTGGGATTTTCAGAATTTTTATATCCCAATTATCTAAGACCAGTTGAACCAAATCCACTTTCACCACGATTAGTCACTTCTAAATCCTAATTAAATGATGCATAATTTAAAAACAATAATAAAATAATAATAATAATAATAATAACAATAATAATAATATGATAACTTACTTCCACTTCAACAACTTTAGGTGTAGAAATACATTCTAAAATAAGTTGTGCAATTCTATCACCTTCTTTAACTAATTAAACAATTATAAATTAATAATGAATCTTTAAAACAACAATAATAATCATTCTTATCTTTTCTCAAACTAACCTTTATAGTCATTATCACTAAAATTAAATAAAAGAACACCAAGTGGTCCACGATAATCAGGATCAATTACACCAGCTCCACAATCAAGAAAATGATTTAATGCTAAAAATTTTTTTTATGTTTTCAAAATAAAATATCATCATTATTATAAACTATTAATCCATCTTTAAAAGTATATATATGACATAGATAGATTTATAAGTATACCAAGCCCACTTCTTGGTGCAACACGACCATAAGTTCCTGATGGAATTGATACAGCCAAGTCTGTAGGTATTAAAGCTTTTCCTTTAGCAGGAATAATGATATCTCGAGCACTAAATATATATCAAGATTAGACAAGATGTTGTGTGTACATGCATGGATAAAATTATACTCATATGAATGAAAGTTATATATTACCTGTATAAGTCATAACCAGCAGCTTGACTAGAGCCACGTACAGGTAATGTTGACTTTTCACTTAAGCGTTTAACATAGAACATATCCATATCGACAGATTTTAATTTTTTTAAAAGAAAAAGAAAAAATACGCGACACGATTTCAGGGACAACGACTTTTTGCGTTCTGCCCTAAAAGAACAGATCAGCATAATTCCGCAGAATTTGATTACTATGTATTACAAGGAAATTGGTTGATCACCGCAGAAAATCGTTAGTACACATTTAGATTGATAAAAAGATCTCCATTTGTTTATGTATTAGCTGAAATCTTTCTTGGATGAGAGGGAACGGGTAGTGTGATTATGCGACTATAATGATCACTAAATATGATTAATTCGAAGAAAAATTGACGGTGCAATGTCAATCAGTATCTTTAATCAACCAGCTTTGAGCAAATGAAAGTAAAAGTCTTCTGAAGAGAATTACCCGACACTTGGGAAAGTATTGATTTTGATCAAATTAGACATCAATCAATTATCAAAATCTTCTAAAGTTTTTGTTGCCAAATCCAAGAAGTGTAAACAATATTCAATTATGTGTATATCAACAAAGACTTAAAAGAATTAGATATGGTAGCTCAGTTATTGAAGTTGAAGGAAGGAAATAAATTAGAAACTAATATATGATGAATGAAAAATTGAATTATATATTTTAAAAAGAAATAAATTATATAAATTATAAATTATATCCAAAACCATTCATTACATTTGGAGAAACTTTTGATAAGATTAGATGACTTATTAAAACATCTAGGGCTTTTATATTGCGATAATTTGGATTGAATTGATATGTGCAATAATAAAAGTATTTCTTTAGATAATTTTAATCTAGACTTTTGAATATGAAATTAACTATATAGAAGAATTTTTTTTACTTAATAGTTCACGTATATGAGTAGAACTTAATTTTAAATTTAATTCATCATCTTTAAGTGAGGAGCTTGATGGTGATATTACTTCAATTACTAAGATATCCAATGGTTCAAGGTGAATTTTTTTTCTTTCCTCATTAACTATTATTCCCCCCAAAAAAGAATTATTATTAATATTTTTACAAGATAGATAAACATAAAATTATATATTATTACTATGTATTTAAACTAATTTTAGTTGCTCACTTATTTCACCATTGCTGAGTGTTTCTTTGGACACAACAAGCGCTTGAATTTCAGGTGTTATTACCGTTGGACCATAAATATCATATAAAGGAACAACCTTAAAAAATGTTAACAAAGAAACTGTTTTTTATAATTCAAATAACCTCTTTTACTTCCAAGTATATATATCTAATCACCTTATATTCTAAACAACATCTAATTGAATTAAGAAATTTGGTAACTTTTTCAATGCGCACCTCAGTTGATTCCAAGAATTCTTTATATTTTTTGTTTTTAAGCATATTTTCAGCTAAAATTTCATTATCATCATCATCATCATCATCATTATTATTACTATTCAAGTCGTTGATATCAAATCATGTAAATAAATATATTCTAGTTATATTTACCTACCTGTAACACCACATGTAATTTTTTTTTGGGAAATCCAAGCTGTCATAGTTAACATAATTTTATGGCCTGCATGTAAATGATCGAATGTGCCTCCCACCGCAACACTTTGATATATTGTTTTTCCCAAAGATTTATTGTCATCACCATTTTTGATAATTCCAGTTTGTTGTGGTGGTGGTGATAATTGTGGTGATGAATTACTTTTTATGAAATGAATTGGTAATTCAATTAAATTTGAATTCTTTCGATTTTCATTAAATCCTTCCAAAACATTCTTTTCTAAATGTATTAATCATAAAACTATGAATATAATATGGTAATAAATGTAAAATATATTTATATATACCATGAAAACTCCCAAAAAAAGCTTGAAAATCTTTTCCCAATTCCACTTGATATCCGCACCAATTCTCAAAAATGACAACAATATCAATAAAATACTTTTCAATTTCATATGCAATTTTTGAACCACAGATGTAAACAGCATTTAAAAAGTCATTAATTTCATTCCAACTTGAAATTGGCGAGGTTTTGGAATAATTTTCAAATTTTGGTGATGATATATAAATTGTAAGACCGTCTGTTACATTATTGATGATTATTGAACGAATCAATTCTTGATGAAAATTATTATATGACTTTAGTGTAGGCAAAGAAATGTACAGCAACGCTTTGTTATACAACATTATCTTGATAAACTTGTAGTAGGAAAGAAATGAAGAGTTGGAAATTTTTTTTCTCTAAATAGATTTTTTTAAACCCAAATAGTAAATAATATTGATCTAAAATCATATGAGAAAATTGATCAGCAATATAAAAATAGTTTAAAACAGGCGTTAAATTATTGCGAAAAAATACGTTAATTTTCGAAATCGATGTCGAATCAATGCCGTGACCTAATACTAACACTAATGCTAAATTCTTTTGAATTCCATAACCATTTCTGAAGATGGCCTGTACTAAGCCTAAGCCTTAACCTAAACCCCTGCCTACCTTCTAAACTAATTTCAGGTGGTTTCGAGTTACAGCATTGGTCGAAAGAAATTTATTTAGTATGACAAATTGTAATGTTAGCAGCTCACGCGGAAGCCCTCATTTGATGGAAGAGCATCTTGACCAATTGATGTCAAACAAATTCTATACTTATTCATTTATTTATAAAACAAAATTTCTCCTTTTTTAAAAATTCTGACGTATGAGTCACACGATATTTCGAACTTTTGTGGTAGTAATCTTTCGTTTACCATGTATCCACCCAAGCAAGAAAATATACGTACGCATCCAGCATTATTAGAAGAGCTAATTTTTGTAAAGAATTGTCATTATCATCAGTTGCATTCCACCACATTCTTGGTGTATCATATAATTAATATCATACGGTCTCGTTTTCTGAACCTCGCGAATGACACTAGTTGCTTTTGATATTAATATCATAAATAATTATATAAATAGATGTAGCAAAGGGAAAAAATAATAAAATAAAAATAATTAATAAATGTTATAAAAAAATAACATTTACTTCGATGATTCAATGTCAAATTCCTCCCATCTATTGTTAAATCCAGGCATTTTGATTTTATATATCAGGTGAGCCAGTTGAATAAAACATCAGATAAGTGGCAATTATTTTGTGGTTTCATATGCTGATGTCCTTCTTGTTTTAATAAAAGTTTTAAGGCCACTCTGAATGTTTAACGCAACTGCTGTCTAAGATAAATGGTTATGACCAATATAAAGATTTTTATATCGGTAGCTCGGATTAAATATGTTGACAAAATTAACGAAACAACTGGTGGTCAAGTTATTTGTTATTTTCAGAACTGGCTTCAGGCCTGTATTTCAAATATTTCAAAACAATCTGATTTTGTGATTATAAGTGTTTATAAATATATTTATTGTATCTGATATTCTATAGAAATTCCTCGTCTATATACTTTACAAACAAAATTTAAAAAAATCAGTGAAAAAACAGAAAATTAACTTTACGCCAATAATGTGAAGACTGACTATATATACTTTTTTTTTTATATTAATAATAATAATATTATCTGCGCATATCACATGACATAAAATTAAACCAATTATTTAGTAATCATCCTGAAAATCTGAAAACAAAAAAAAAAAAAACCCAAAATGGAAGACTCTACTACTACAACCAGTTCAATTATTGAAGAAAATACACAAAATGTGGCAAAACAATTAACAAATTCAAAATTAATTGAATTTAAAAAGATTAAAAATAAAACAGGTGTCATTTATTTGTCAAGAATTCCACCTTTTATGAAGCCTGCTAAAATAAAACATTTGTTAAGTCGATATGGAGAAATTGGTCGTGTGTACTTGGCACCTGAAGGTAATTTGGACAATGCTTAGAAGGATTTTTTTTTTTAAAAAGAAAATCACAAAAATAATAAAAATAATAACGGTAACATCCCTCATAAAAGATGCTAAAATCCATGCTAGAAGAAAAAAATATGGTGGTAATAAAAAGAAAAATTATGCAGAGGGTTGGGTCGAATTTTTAGATAAAAAAGATGCCAAGAATGTAGCAAATATATTGAATACTCAACCAATAGGTAAATTTTTTTTTAAAAAAAATGATGTTTCTTATAATGAAATATTATTAATATTGATATGATTGTAGGAGGAAACAGAAGAAATCATTATCATGATGATTTATGGAATATCAAATATCTTTCAAAGTTCAAATGGAGTAATTTAACAGATCAAATTGGTTTGTATAAACATACATATATATATATATATATATTTAAATGAATTTTATATATAATTCCAAGGAAAATATTATTTAATTATTTTTGTTATGATTAAAAATATAGCATACGAGAATGCTGCTAGAGTTCAACGTCTCACAGCAGAAATTTCACAGTCACGAAGAGAAAATAAAGATTATATAGCAAAAGTAGAAAAGGCAAAAAAAATAAGAAACATTATTCGTTCTAAAGAAAAATCCAGTCTCAATAATAATAAAAATCCCCCTGTTTAACCAATCAAGAAATTTTTTGGAGCTGATTCTAAAAGAATTATTTTGTTGAATGTCTGATAGCACCAAGTTCAAATTAAAAAAAATAATTTAAATTGTAATATTATTAATATAATAGATATTTTTTACGAGGCTTTCATGTGAAAAAAGTTCAGCCATGCTTTATACAAATTTAAGCACATCCTTACGAATTTCTTTAGGTATTTTGAGGTTTTTATCTTTATAATTAATAAGGAATTTGTTGAAAATTGAGTGGAAAAAAAGTTGTTGGCAAATAAAATATTGGGGAGGATGATGAAAATATATATATGTGCTTTTTGTAGTACTCCGGGAAAGTTATTTAGGACATATATTTTTAACGTTCTCAGTGATATTCTCTTGAGTTAAAATGACCAGTTGGGCTAATATCTTCTGATCTGAGTTTATGTGAATAGTGAAAAAATATAAAGAGGATATATGTTAAATAAAAATATTCATGCTTCCTTTGAGCAGACACCAACCCTGCTCTGAATTGTGACCTCCTGTGCTTGAACGAGCTGCAGATTCTCTTAATATTCCTCCATAGTTGCGACTTGGTCACAGAGCCATCCTTACCCTAGAGATAGGATCGTTACGGGCAACTTTTCGGCTAGTGTGCCAGCAGCCTTCTCTGGTCTGGATGCTGTCATTAACGATTGGTGCAGTCTTGATGCATTCCAGAGCCATGCCACCCCGGAATTCGGTTGCATCATTGTATCATTGGGCGTCGCAGGTTGGTTTAGTCTTGTGTACATGAGGAATGTAAGGGAATGACGGTAGAGTGTTCAAGGTATCGTGCGTGCTTCAACGCCTGTCAATTTCCGATAATCAAACGTCTCATATTTGAATTGTTTCTTTTTCAACAGTGTGCTGCCTTGACATCTTGTAATTATAATATTAATATTAACGATTACGCAAAGCAAAATATCAATCGTTTATTATCTTGACATGGATCTTATAATTACCCAGCAAGATCTGTTCTGCGTTTTGATTCCAATTAAAATATTTGTAAAATAAAAGTCACCACATTATATCAATGTAAATTAAAAGAAAGTACCTTTGTCATTATTAACACGTCTTCAGGCTCAAACCATACCAAACAACATCACTCACGTTTTATCATTGAAAAATAAATTGTTTTTCAAAAAAAAAAAAACAATCATGTTAGCAAAAAAAAACCAATAGGGTTATAAATAAATGTGTACGCGTTTGTCGATCAAATAACAAATTTCTTTTTCTTCAATCATATCTTTTTCAATCAAAAAAAGAAGAAAAGACAATAATGCAGCAGAAGCAGTTTCTGAGCAAGTGTTTATCATAGAATGGTGGTGGTGGTTATTGCCACTCTAGTTTTAAAAATAAAAATGGGAGTAAATATTATTAATATGATAGTCACTAGTCAGCATATTCATATGTCCGTTTCAATTTTCTGATATATTGACTTTTACTTGCATTTATTTAAATCTAGGACGTTAATTATGGAAATCTTATGTGTATGTATTTATGCACTTTCCTTATTATAAAGAATCTCACATTCTTGACCACTTGCGTACAATGTCATTAATTTTCTATTACATAAATAGCATGAAAAAGAAAATATTCCTCCACTTTCAAATGAATTGACTAGGGGACGAAAAGTAATAGGTATTTATTTTAATATTACTACTTTCATAGAACTCCTTTAATCAAGTTCGTTTATTTTTTCTAGTATCAAAGAAGCAAAAGATTATTAAAGGTACGTACACAGCTTCCATTATTTCATTTTTTTTTTTTCAAGAAAATTTTGTAACAGTAACAGACTAATATTCTCTTTGATGACTATAGGTGGGACCGTTACTCTTTTTGCAGGCAAAGGCGTTCCTACCAGAATCAGCAGTTTTATTCAGATTGTAGAACGAAATCTTACTTTTCTTGACAAAACTTTACTCATTGCTGACTTCCTTGAATGTATTTCAGTAGTCTCTGTCATCTTGCGACCAAGACGTTTTGGAAAGACAACAAATATCTCAATGTTAAAGAATTTTTTTTCTATTCCTAATAATCTTGATAATGTAGACTATCGGCGTGAATTATTCAAGGACACTAAAATAATGGAGAAGTCGGACTTATTCAAGGGACACTTTTGCAAGCATCCGATCATATATATATATCTTTCAAGGTATGGTAATTTATAACGATTACAAAGATTAATCTTCCAATAAAAAAATCTTTTAAATAAATTTCTATTTTTGTTTATTCATAAGATTAGATTGTATACAACTTTACTATTGTTCATTTGATTGGCTATTATATGTATTTTAGGAGAGTTGGTTGATTAAAGGAATTACATATTAACATGTAAATTTAATGATGATAGAAGTCATTAATTAATGATATTAAATTTGTTAATATTAAAAGAAAATTTAGTAATATTTATTACTATTATGATAACAAAATTTTGAACCCTGAAACTCTTGGTAATACCAATGTTCACTTTGTCTGGCTTTGTTACAGTATGCCCATATGGAATCTATCGATCTGGGAAAATGTAGATCGCGTTCAGTGTTACATAGGTTTTTTTTAATTTTTTTAAATAACTTAAAAATAAGTACCTGGCTGTACAAAAATGTCCAACTTCGTACCTTTTCAACTTTCAACTTCATTGGAAGGCCATGATTTAGATGTACGAGTGTTAATAATTAACATCCATTATTGTTTTTTTAAAAAATGTTTATTTTAATTTTATAACCTTTTCTTTTAGGTTAAAGCAGTTTCTAGCCCTAATGATAATATAATCATTTCAGCTTCTCGTGATCAAAGTGCTCGCTTATGGTCTAGAATTTCGGCAAATGCATTTGAAGAATCCAAAATTTATTTGGGACATTCAAATTTCGTTAATTCAATTACATATGTTAAACCTTCTGAAAAATATCCTCAAGGTTAATGGAATGCTCGTCAATTTTTTTAAAAAATTATAATTTTAAATCAATTCAGCGAAAATATTAACAGAATACTTATGATGCTGTTATTATCATAGGACTTATTGTGAGTGGCAGCAGCGACAAGACAATTAATGTATTTGATGCAGAAAATGCTGGTGAACCGATTTATTCTTTGATTGGGCATTCAGGAAATATATGCACACTAGAGGTTACACCATCAAATCATATAATTTCAGGCTCTTGGGATAAGTCTGTATAATTTATATTCAATATAATTTTCTCAAAATGTATGTTAATCTTTCTAATTTAATAAAATTTGATAATACAGAACAGCAAAAATATGGATAAATTGGCAAGATTCATGTACATTGAAGGGACATTCACAGGCTGTATGGGCTGTATTAGCATGGAGCGATGAGTTAATATTGACTGGTAGGTTTAATGTTTAGTTATTGATTAGTGTTCCTTTTTCTACACATATATTTATTATTACAAAATTTTAAATTAGGATCTGCTGATAAATCTATTATAAAATGGCAAAATGGAAAACGTATTCATACATACAAAGGTCATACTGATTGTGTTAGGGGTTTAGCTTTATTACAAAATATTGGATTTGTATCTTGTGCTAATGATAGGTCTGGATGATTTTATATAATTTTACTCCAAGGTGGAATCCAAATAGTAAAAGTTTTTATATTTTTATCTTATCAATCTTCCAGTACACTTCGGATTTGGACTCTAGATGGTCAATGTATTCAAGAATTAAGTGGGCACGTGTCATTTGTTTATTCTATTGATGTTTTGCCTAGTGGTGAAATTATATCAGGTGGAGAGGATAGATCAATCAAAGTCTGGAAAGGTTTACTATTTTTTATTTTATAAATGTGTATTCGTAAATTTGTTTAAATTTGATTTTTCCTAAATTTTATTAAAACAGACAGCACATGTATTCAAACTATATTGTTCCCTGCGACATCTGTATGGTGTGTTACTTCAATGCCTAATGGTGATATTGTCAGTGGTTCAAGTGATGGAATAATTCGTGTTTTTACTAGAGTACCAGAGCGTATTGCCGATCAAAATGTTTTGAAGGTATTCATAATAGAATTTTTGAACTCAAAATGAAATTATTTTATTTTCTGATGACTCATTATATTTTTTATATTTTTTCATTTAGGATTTTGATGAAAAAATTTCAAAACAAGCTATTCCAAAGTATATAAAAATAATGATCTTTTTGTTTGTTTATTTATTTATTTGACAATTGATAATTATCTTGATATTTTATAAGAAATCAAGTTGGGGATTTGAATAAAGAAACACTTCCCGGATCTGAGGCATTACTTCGACCAGGTTTTTTAAGGCTTTATATTTGTTTATATTTAATTAGTTTGGAATTTTAAAAAAAAAAAAAATTTTTTTTGAATAGGAGAAACGGACGGTCAAGTATTGATGGTTCGTAATGGTGATTTAGTTGAAGCTCATCAGGTAAAAGAATATCTATTAAAAATATTCCTTTGTGCTTAAATAATTTGCATTATATGACTTGTTATTTTTTATTAATTCTTAAAAGTGGAGTGAAGCCAGTAAATCATGGAAAAAGGTTGGAGAGGTTGTTGACGCGGTCGGTCAAAATCGCAAACAATTATATAATGGAATAGAATATGATTATGTATTTGACGTTGATGTTGGAGAAGGGATGCCACCATTAAAACTTCCATATAATGCCACAGGTTTATACTATATTCACACATATGCATTGATCATTATATGTTGGTTTTAATAAATTATTAATTTTAAATTTAATTTATAATTTTAGATAATCCTTACCAAGCAGCACAACAATTTATTTGGGCCAATGAACTTCCACAAAGTTATTTGGATCAGGTAGCAGATTTTATAACAACAAATGCACAAGGAGTGTCAATAGGCACAGCCAATCAATACTCCGATCCATTTACAGGTACCGATTCAAATTATTTTGTATTCATATTTCTTTTAATAATATAATAAGTGGTGACTCACATTTAATCATAGGCGGCTCTAGATATACACCCGGAACTTCAAGTTCATCAATACCATCTGTGAGTTAAGATTTTAATGTTTGATTTAATCAGCAAAACTCATTTTATTTAAAGTTTGTTAATGATAAAATAAATAAATAACAGAACACTAGGCCAAATTACCTTGATCCTTGGACTAGTTCAGGAGCCTCCAGCAGTGGTACTTCTGAAACTAAGAAAATAATTCCACAAGTATGTTTTATAATCTAATATATCTGTATGTTATCGTATATTTTTAACGATTGTCTTTTTTCCTCTATAAATATGCATAGAAAACATATTTAACGTTTCGTCAGGCCAATCTTCAAGCTATACTAAAAAAATTTAATCAATTTAATAATGAGTTAAAAGATGTTTCATTGAGTTCTGAAGAATTTGCTATTTTGGAAAATTTGACAAAATTTTTACAGAATCCAGATCCCAAGCTTGCCTCATCACCTGAAAGAGAGAAAGAATTTCTTATCATTAAGAAAGCCCTTACTCTTTGGCCATCGAATTATCTTTTCCCGGGTAGTTAATTAACTTGTAAAAATAATAATAGCGAATTATTATTATTACTATTTATTGATTAAAACTATTGATATATATTTTTATATATTAGGAATTGATTTATTACGTCTCCTCAGCCTTTACACATCTATTCCCGCACAATACTCGGATGAAAAAGGAAGTATCGTTAAGTTTATAGAGTCTGTAATTGGAATAAGTTCATGGGTTGGTGATGAACAATTGTCAAAAGAAAAGGAGACCAATTTAATGTTATATTTTAAAGTTCTTGCCAATCTTTTTGATTCTAAAGAAGGAAGAGATGTTATAAGGAAAGAATCTGTTGCTGTAAGTTTAATATTTATGTATACATAAACTTTTTGTTTTTAATTATAATTATTTTTTTTTTTTAATTTTTTAGATTTTTGAATTAATGTCTGATATATGGAAAAAGAGCACAAACACAAATTTACAAATTGCTTTTATCACAATATATTTGAAGTAATTTATAGAAAGAGAATTTTATAAGAGTTTTATATAATAATTATTTATTATTAATTAAAAACTTCAAATATAATTTTATTTAATAGTTATTCAGTTTTATATGCTACAAGTCCAGATGAGAATCTAATTATTCAGATGATTGCTACGATTGTAGAGGTAGGTGTATTTTAATTTATGAGAGAAATTCATTGTGTTATTTTAATAATTGTGTTTATATTAACGATAATGAAACACTTTTACGCATGTATAATGATAGCTTTTAGAATCTGAGAGAGATTCAGAAGTGGTATATAGAGCTTTAGTGACTTTGGGAACATTGGTAAGGAATTTCGCATAATATCATACACTTGTTATGATGTATATTTAAATATTTATATATATACACTTTATTAATAAATTTTAAACCTAGATATTTTGTCATGCTTCTGCAAAAGATGCTGCAAAAGTTTTTGATGTAAAGATTATTTTAAAAAATGTATCTGGGAAAGAGCCAAGAATTACTTCTGTATATGGTGAGTTTTTACTTTCCATGTGTAAACTTATCTGTAAATTTTAACATCTAATCATAACATTTTATTTTATTTTAAAGATGAAATTTTAAAATTGATCTAATACAATAAAGTTTTATTTATATCAAAACTTCTTTTTCAATTTTACATACATATTTATAATATTCGTCCTTTTAAATTTATTAATAATTTTCATGTAATACTTGCCAAAAATAATCATGGTGGAATATGAAATTTGATTATACAAGAGCATGGCAAAATTTGAAACATTTAATTTATTTTACTATTTAAAAATATAGCGAATAAATTCATTAGCCATTGTTGCTATAAATTAACATTAACAATATTATTCATTATTTACCAACGATGATGATGATTACGGTAAAATAGCATTTCTTCCCCACTCTTTATGCTTTTAAATAAAATAAAAAAAGAAAATCAAGAGCAAAAAAAATAATATTAAAAGACAACGATATGTATGTTATAATTGATAACAATGAGCTGACAAGCATGGCTCATAATAACCTAAAATAATTAAATAATCTTATTTCACTAATTTCTTTTAACTTTGTAGATCTTTAATAGCAGAGAAAACCAACGAGGAAGGATAATGGAATTCGACTAATACAAAGTTAATCATAGCATACATATTAAAAAATTTTCTTTTCAAAATAATTGCATAGCCTATAGTCATGACCTAATTGGAGACGCAAATATTCACATTTAATTACATCGTTTTGAATTAAAGTTAATAGCCAAGTTATGACGAAAAGTCAATCAATTAATTATTAATTATAATAATAAAGTGAATACTAAAATACTAATCTTTGTTTTTATGTCAATCGTTAATATTAAAACTCTTTGAGTATTATAACATCACATGAATTTAAATAACATTTCTTTGAATCAATTCTATTGGCTCTTTTAAGGTTTTCCAAGGTGTTCAGAATATGAATAATCTTTTCTTCATCTTCGTTGTCATTTAAATATTCCTTTATAATTATTTCAATATTATCTATTGTCTCAATTATTTCGTTAATCCATTTATTGATCGTCAATAGTTGTCTAAAAAATAGACTGTTGTATTATCATTTAATACAATTGAGATTTGCTTTTTGTGTCCATTCTATACACAAAAAATTGTCCGGACATCTATAAGGGCCACATTCTCCATTCCGGTTCTTTGTAGAAAAACTCTCTACACTGTCCCTGTTATTATGAATATCAAAATTATTTACAGTCTAATCCAAGACATGATGTTATAAACTAATTTTACCATAAAGATTCAATATCTGCAATATTATAATTTAAAAGGTCCATGATATAACTTCTGTTATATTATTTTTTTCATCTTGATAATATTTTTTTGTCCGTGTTTTTAAAATTTGAGATCAAGATGGGAAAACCACTTTAATGGATAAATGTGATGCTCTCAATCTTTTTATAAGTTTTTTTGATGATTCGTACAAATATTCATTACCAACATTGTTTGGGTTTTTGATTTTTTTTTTTTATTATTAAATGACATTTTAAAAATCTCGTGTTTCTCTGAAAGTTCTACAAGACTAGTCAATGATTTAAATATAGCCTACATATCACAAGATTTTAACTGGTTGACAACTTCTAATTGATTAGAAAGTTCGCCAATGATATGATTGCCTTTTTGCTTCATCAATTTCTTCATAAACATCAACTTCAAGAATATTGATGAATCAATCCTTCTGGTTTTTGCAATGCGTATTCTGCATACTTGAGAAAATTTTTGTTTTTATGAAACTCCTATAATGAACATTTCACACCGTATTGTCTCGTGGTCTTTAATCAGAGATCAAAAGTGAAATGTTAGTAATTCATAGAATTATTGTTACACATGTCATAACAGTTTTGGGCTGCATGTATAATTGTAATTGTTAGTGTTAGTTTTTAAATTTTATTTTGTTCATTGAAAAAAAGGATTCAATCTTTACGAGGGTTAGTCCCACTTAAAGAATCGTTGGAAAATCCAGTGCGCGAAGATGTGTGTGCTAATCAAAGATGGAAATTATCAATTCCCATATTAATATTTGATTACCAAAACAGTATAGTGTATATTAGCGCAGTCAGTCAATCAAATAGTATTTTCCAATTGCTAACATTGGTAAGCTCTTAAACATTATTATTATGGGGTTAGTGCTCGTTTTCAGATTATTATGCAGTTCTCAGCTTTAAGTTCATCGTTGTTTAAATATATCAAAAAAACCTTATACATTAGATTTATTTTTATATATTTATAGAAAAAGACATGATTATGTCAACCATCTTATATGAAACATGAAACATAGGTGAGATAGCAACGTAGGGTGTTGTATAGGGAACGTTTGAAGAATGTCTTAAAGGAATTTTCTTCAGAGGTCGATTATATTGATTAGTTAATTGATTAAATTATTTAATGATATGAATTTAGTAAATTCGATACTTCAGTATTACAAAATATCAGAGATTTCATTATCAAAAGACGAATTGATTTAAAACAATCTGTTTGTTAATGAAACAGATATTATTATTATATCGTCTTTATATGTTTAATATTAATAATTAATAATAATTGATTTATATTGATTTAAAAACTTTCTATTAGATAGATTGGAAAAATCCAATCTTAAAAGAATATTGATCAGAATGCGCGGTTAAATTAAATAATTAAACATATATTTTTATAAATAAATAAATAAATAAATAAATAAATAAATAAACAATTTATAAAGCAAAGAATTCTTCTTTACATTTATAATATTCATTAAATCTTAACATGGAATATTCCATATAATCAAAATTTATATCAGAGTAATGAGCTTGAATCTAAATAATAATAGAAAAAAAGTGAAGTTAATAATTAGTGATTTTTATATAAATTAAAATAAAATTTATTAAATAATTACCAACGCCCATAACCCCCAGTAGAAATGTGACGCCAATGCAAATTTATTAACTTCTTTATAAAGATTTTCAATCATTTCATCTTTAATTTCTTTATCTGTAAAAATTTTTATTCTTTTTATATATAAAATCTCCCAAAAAAAATAATTTTTTTTATATCAAATTTCTAAATATTTACCAGGGTAAGAATCAGTTAAATAAGTTTTTAACCATTGATATTGAAATTCTTTTGATGGATACATACTATAATTGCATTCGAAACCTACAATAATATTATTGATAATGATGATGATGAGTTATAATTATTAAAAAACTTTCAAATAATCAATTCTCCAACTAATCGATCATTATAATATATATTATTACCAGCAAATTCATTAAAATGATTCCCTATATCAAATCCACGATATGAGTAGTTTCCATACTCATAATCAATAAATGATACTTCTTTGAGTGCCTCGTCATAAATTATATTTGCACTTAACAAATCATTGTGACAAAAAACTATAGGAGAGTTAAGTTTAATCAACTCCTTCTCCAAATCCAATAGCTAAATGTTGTAAATTAATTAATACTTTTCTTTGATAAAATATAAAATATTAAATATTATATTTACTTCTAATTTGATTTTCTTAATATTGAAATTTTCATGAAATTTTTTATTAATATCTGAATTGGAATAAGAAATTGGAACTACATATATATTAAATATAAAAATAAATTATATGTTAAAAAAATTTCATGAATTTATTCAATCAATTGTATGCAATACTAAAGATCTCAAAAAATATCTTTACCTTCCCCTAACCATTTATATAAAGTAGGAAATAAATTTGCGGTTTTATCTCCTAGCATATCAACACTATGCCATTGGGCTAATTTTTTGGCAACCAAAGTGGACTTATATGGATCACTCATATCCTCCACAGTAAATACTTTACCTGGAATGTACCCATAAACAAATCCATTACTAAATCTTCCATAAAGCGGGGGCGATAACTCAAGCATAGATAACCTTACTAGGTTCTATCAATATATAATAACAAATTAATAATCGGTCAATGATTTTTAATTGATAATTGATATCAAAAATATTTAAAAAAAAATCTCTTTATTAAGTCATACCAAAATCTCTTGATTTCTGTCTATCAATACTTCTGATTTGTTACCATATGCTCGAATCAATAGTGAAATATTTAAAGATTTGTTGTAACATTTAACAACTATGAAAATTTTTTTAAAATTTTTTAAATCTCTAAAATTAAAAAATTAATTATTAAAAAATAATCTACTAACGTTTATTGGTTATTCCATCTTTACATTGAACATATTCCAAAGTTTTTTGGTCCCAAGTTGGAAACAATTTCAACGTAACGTAATTTGAATCCTCGATTAAATTCGAGGAAGACACTTTATAGTCAATGTAAACAAAGTTTTCTTTTACATATTTTTCAAGTCGTTCCTTTGATTTAATATCAATATTGCTGCTACCATTGTTGTGATTATGGTGATTATTCATTTAATTTTGTAAATTTTTATAATTAAAAAAAAATTGAAAATCTTGATTGCTTTTTACATAAAAAAGTTTTTTAATTTGTAATTTGACGTGTGTTACGGTACACATTAGTAATTTTTTTACTATATATAGTACTGGCTAGCTTAACACACGATGACACGAGACCCATGACTCAATTTAATTTTACTATTTACTGACTAGGTAATAACACGTTACCTGCAGATCATATTTCCAAATACCCAAGATTTAGAAAAGTGCGGAATTAACTTTGACATTTGATTTTCGGAAACCAGTTTATATGAAAAAAATAAGCATTTAGAATTACTTACTGAACTAAAAGAAAAAAAATTAATTTATTCGCAAGAGTGATGGTACGAAATTAATTAGCTTAAACAATTTTAATAATAGCGAAATTATTTTTTTTTAAAAATAAAGTGGATTGATTTAAATACTCATTATATGTTTGTTGGTATTATAAAAATCAAATCACTTTTGACCAAGTTTTAAAAATAACGAGCTGTATAAACAACAAGTTGTATTAACAACGGGCTAATTAATCAATATTTCAGAGCCTTATTATCGTTAATTTAACTCAATCGTAAAATCAATTTCACACATAATAATAATAAATAAATTCTTTGTTTCGCTTATAAAAACACTTTGTATTCGAA